CTTTTAAAAGAGCTATTGCAACGCCTATTCCTCAGAACCTTACTCGAAGCAATAGGACGTTTTCAAAACTGTATCATAAAAAGCCAAACCCTAATCAAAACAATATATTACCTTTGTTTTTCTGCTGCTCACTGGCACACAGAAGACCCCACTGTATCTCTTTCAGTCTCTTCAAAGTTGGTGTTTTGATCTCGGAGTTTACCTTTTTATTCCAGAAGTGGTGAAACAAATGGAAACAGGCACTAAACACCTACAAACTCAGTGTGGGCTTGGTGGCCAACTGCCATTTCTTCCTCCTACCAAATCTTAATTAACTAAAATGCTGAACCACCAGAAGTTCTGGCATGATAAAAGTGTATGAATCACAGATGTGGGCAGACAAAGGATTTTCCGGGGGGAAAAAAACAAACAGAAAGTAAAATAGTAAAATATCCTAGGGTTGGATAGGTATCTAAAGGAGAGTTCTCTGATGTGCGTCTAATTCTTCTCCTGTCAGTAGAAACACATCATTCAAAACCAAGTCCTATAATCTTAGCATAGAATATCCACTATTTTTAAATGTTTAGTCCGTTTCTGAGCTGGATGTAATTCTGCTAAGCATTTACATGGCTTTCACCATCATGGGATTCAGCATTTTGGCACATCACTACAATGGCAACAGATATAATTCTTTTTCCCACATTAGTGAAACTCTGTTCCTTGGAGAGTAATTTTTGTAGTTTGGTGATAGCTAGATCTTTGATTACACGTTGCATCTTAAAGTGACATGTCTGTGTCTCAAAATAGAATCCTCTACATTTTCCACTTTAACAGTTTCACTGTAACTCCTTGTTGCACTGGATTGCTTTTCCACAGCCAGTCTTTCTGGACTTCCTACCTGAGGCCAGAGTTCTTCCTTTGGAAGCACTGACTAGCCTGAAGTCAGCAAAAAGATACCTTCCTAAGGTGCACAGCAGTAAAAAACCAAATCCTTCTCTTGCTCCAAAATTACAGAAGATGAGGTTATGTGAACTAATCTACAAAGCTTATTTGAAAGTATGTTTTATCTCATGTTTAGGATTGGTGTTTACCTATACTCTAATAGCAGATGTCCCCATCTTTTGGTACTTGTCCTATCCCTTCTCAAGGCCATAATTTATATCTGTATGTCAGTGAAGATATTGGCATGGATCTCTCAAGGAATATCTGTTTGCCAGGCCCTGTACTGTACCCATTCCAGATGGGAGTTAATTGCTCTACGGGATCCTTCAACTGTTTACATAGAGCTGTATGTATCTGGATGCTTCCTTTCTGGGTCTCTTTCCTAACAAAAGGTGCTGGTGACTTTGTACTACTTGTACAGTGGGCAATGAACTTAGTAATCAAGCCAAGCTACATTAATCATAATTTTTGAATTGCATAATGTACATTATTACACAAACTTACAGCAAGATGTTAAAGACTACACTATAAGCAAAACTGCAAGTTTTAAAATAATGTTACTTGCACAGTTGGCCCTCAATGCATGAAAGAGGCTTCCAGGTTGTAAATTTGCTGATACGTAAGATGGGACATATCCAAACTGGCTTAGTACAAGCCAGCCCTGGTCTGAAAGCAGTCCTGCCTCTGTTGTTGGTACCTCAGGAATTACACCATAGTAGTGCCACCCTCACCATCCTCATTTTCCTGCCGCATTCTCCTGCTACATGTCAGAAAGATGAAGGAAAACCAAAACTAATGCATACTGCATTTGCTCTCTCTGTGTCACCCGAACAGGATGAAACGTACTCAAAAACAAAAATCTTAAAGCTAGACATAAAGAATTAGCAATGACTCCAGGGTTGGGTTTGTCTGTCTCGAATAGCACCTCCTAAATCTTCTCTGGTATTTAGATTGTTTGAAGTAAAGTTTATACTTAACAGAGCTCCTTAAACACAAGGAAAAAAAATATGAAGGAACAAATGAAAGAGAATTAAAAAACCCACCTTGGGAGTAGTAATTTCCTAAACAATCTAATTCTATTTAAGTTTTAGCCATTGCTTATACATCCCCTTTATACAGCCCCATAAGGAACGAACTAGGCCATTTGTTGCTACAGCAAAGGGATTTTCCAGTATTCTTAAAGAACCAATTATTTTGTCAAATACTTCAAATAGATTTCCTAATATGCTAGAATAGCGTTAAAACTATATAAAAACATTAAAATTTCCAACAGAGCTCCCAAAATGAGCAAGTAATGCCCAACTGTCTTTGGTTTATAGATAAAACATGGCCAAAGCTTTGAGATAAGCATTGGAAAGGGTTTTCAGGACCAAGCAATCAATAACAGCACTGTGCCCTTTCTTTTTCCTCACATCATTAACTTTTCTAAATAGTAATTGAACCTGTGTTATATGCAGTGAACTGGAAATAAAGCAGTGGGTTTTTTTGGTTGGAGATTTGTTTTGGTTTTTTTGGGGGGGAGGTTGTTTGTTTTAACTTTAAATATATATTTTTAGAAATAGCTGCTGTAAACACAAGAAATCTTAAAAAAAATGTTCCACAAAGTTGCAAGATTGCAGTAAAATAGCTTTATCAGTCTGGAAAGCAAGCTGCTTTAACTGGCAGCCTGAGATAAGCCATTCCAGTGCACAGAAAGCTTAAAAACCACAGGAGTTTCAGACTGTTGAGCAACAATTGATTTTAGATTGAAATTATTGCAGATGTTTTGAACACCACAATCTTTTCCTTCAGGTGACCCAGTTTCAGGTGAAGGTTGTTCGTAAATTACTTTCAGAAAATTCTCAGGCGTGGCACACTGTTTTAACCAAAATAACAGAAGTCCTGTTTGGAAGTAACAAGTGACAAAAAGCATAAGCAGTCAACACTTCTTAACCAGCAATAAGACTCAGGTCAGAAAGAGAAGGCACAAGGCTATGATAATTATATGTTCAAAGTTGTTACTGATTATGGAAGTCTCAGCTAGACCAATAACATTTAACTTTTAAGTCACACTAGGATCATCTTCCGTCTTCATTCTTTTTTCCCTTAGTAGTCAGTTTATGATACGCTTTGGATTAATCTCATACTATTCAACTGTGCCACTGTTGACATACAAATATTGCAGACCACCAACATTAAAAAAAAATCAGTCTTTTCAGAAATTGGCATTTCTTTTCAGAAACACCATTCTACCAAAATGTTTCCTACCAGAGTATCAGCAAAGTTGTCACAAACTATAATCAGCAGAAAGCATGTACATTATAACACTGCAGATTTTAGTGTTTAAATTTTATTATACAAACAGACATGTACTATGAGAACTAATGTACACATGGCAGCATAAAGTACTTCAACTGTCAGTAAATCAATTCGTTCAAGATAAATTGGAATATATAATTTAGAACCACTCAAGGGAAAAAAATAGGGAGAAATGACCTTAGGCAAGAATATAAGTTAAATATTAATGAATATATATTTAACTAAGACATACAGCTAATAGATGGAGGAGGAGGAAAAGGGGAGAGAGACAATCTTTTAGCTTAGCACTCACCTTTCAGACCACCTGAAGATATCTAGCTAAACTTAATAAGGGCATTTGAAATGACTAAGCATATAGACTGAAAATGAAAAAACCCACACCATAAGGAATGGCCTAATTAAATTTCTTATAAATTGAAAAATACAGTAGCAGTTGTATAGTATATAGTAAACTGAAAGGTAGCAAAAAAGTGAAATTTTGAGATCTGGACACATGTTCAAGGGTATACAGTGAGAGACAGAATTGGAACAATTATATTTAGAGAAATCACAGAGCTTCATCTGTGAGAATCCACTGAACTTCTGAGTGATTTATGCAACTACGAACTTAGCATCAGCCTGCTTCCTAACATGTCCTAGACTACTGCTGACCTCTAAACTCTGCAGTTGTGGAGACTGCCACAATTAACAAGAGCTTTTAAGCTTAAATGCACTTCCAAACTTGGTTTTCTCATTTAGTTCTTCTGAAAAAGAATGACTTCTGTTTAAATGAAGTATGAATTATTGAATTGCACACATAACGTTCAACAGAGCCCATTAAATCTGTAATTAGCCAAAAGTTAAAGTTTTCTTAAGAAAGGCCACACGATTAAAAGTGTCACCTCTTAATCAAGACCTAGATTATGTTAGTAGGATCCTGGGTTGGAGAGAGGGAATTAATACAAGAACATAAATATGTTCTGGGTGCAGTAGCCTTCCAATTCATGTGTTATGTAAATATTAGTCCATTACAAATGGAAACACATCTTTCAGTTAACAGGGCTTACTCAATTAAAATGCATGCTACTGTCTCACTAGAAACTTGCTCAGAAATAAGACACAAACTTCATGGTTAACTGCAATTTTTATTTTTTTTTTTTAAGATGCAACACTTGCTTGTATGGCTAGCTCAATCACTTCCACTGAACAAAACAACAAAACTTCTGCACAATGATCATGCAGCCTCTGATCACATTTTGAGGGTTCTTTTGAAAGCTTTACATTTCAAATGGAAACTGATTTAACACAGAGCAATTCCAATGGCTTCTATACTGCTTTCTCTAACACTTTTACATTAATTGTGTCCATAGCAAAAAATTATTTTTGAAAGGAAAACAGGCTTGTAGCAGCATCAAAGTAGAAAAGCACTGTTCAGAACAGCACTAAATTTTTTCACTAAGAAATCCCAACCAACTGGACTGTTTCTATATGTGGGATGCCTACAAACAGTTGCTTATGAATTACTTTAAATTGTCCTAAACTTCACAAGAAACTACTCTGACCTTCACCTGGAAATAATAACAAGCTCAACCAAGTATTGCTGATGACAGCAAAAAGACTTCCACTAAGTTCATCAAGCTGTAGTCAAGACCTACACACTCTGACAGTGAGTTTGCCTAAATCTACCATGATTTCAAAGCACATGTAGGATTTGTAGTATATATTCACATGCAAGCACATACTTTCTTCAGCAACACACTGGGGAAGACAGAGGAAGAAAGAAGAAATAGTTTTTTCTGTACCTGGCAAGTCTGAAAAAAGGAGAATGCATTCATTGAATCCATTAGCCAGAAGACGATCCCTCAGTTGTTGAAGTATTGCAACTCCAATACAGAACGGGAAGGAGGAATTTCCAAGCAGTAACGTATCCCACAAATGAAAAATTTTGTGCAAAGGAAAGACATCTACATGATGAACAAGTATAATAAGAAAAAAAAAAGCTATAAGCATATAAGTTGATAAAAACATACATAAACACACACTCTTGAGGAATACTTTTTTTCCTCTCCCATCTTAGGGTTATTTCTTTTTTACTTGGGAGTAAAAAAGACTCAACTTGTTTAGAAACAGCTTTGTCTTCATATACAGTTTGATTATTCTCAAAATAATCAATGTCTTCTTTCATTATTAAACACTTAGAAATGTGTGAGTTTGCAGATTTCACACACACAAAAAATTAGGCAATTTTATTTTTCTTTTGGTATGATGCAATTATACGTTACATGCATACCAGTTTTTCCAATAGTACAAAGACAGGAATGAGTTAATCAATAACCTCAACTACTTAAAATTAAACAAGAAAATGAGCAGAATAGACCAAAAATTGGCAGAACAAAGGAAAGACAAGGAGAAAGGTCTGTTAAAAATAGCAACATTTTATATATAAAGCTGAAGGTGGCTCTCCTAAAATAAGCTATCCTTCAACTAAATAGTTCTAACATTTTATTGCAATTCATTGGCAAGGACACCACCTCCTTGGTTTTCCAAAAGTGCTGATTCTCACGGAAGTTTTAGAAGAATGAACAACTGCAAGAACCAGTGCTTTACAGTCAAGAACTTTAGAAATTGCAGTCAAGAATCTCACATTAAATTCTTTGATATTTCAGCAGAGAACTAATCCATCAGTTCTTTTCATCCTACCACTTTTTTCTTTTTTAAATTCAAAGTCTGCCAATGATGACATGAAATGAAAAAAAAATAAAATCACAGAGATCTTTGAGGAAAGAAGATTTTGAATTGCTTTCTAGACTTGCTTTATTAACTTTGTCCTCTTTTATTAAAAGCTCACCAAATCATAAAGCTCTTTTTGTTCCTAACATCCATGACAATGTGTCAAACTGCAATAAAAAAGCTTTGGTTTTTGGCCCTCAAAAACAAAGTTTTTCTCTCTCTCTTACATTGCCTGGGTAAGGGCAGGGGAAAGTGGTGAGGTTTTGTTTTGGTTTGTTTTTTTTTTTTTAAGCTATTATTATATCTTTTTCCAGCAAATAACAGCTTCCTTTGTGCACTCCCTAAATACTGCATGCATAAAATAATCCAGTACAAATTTAATATAATACTTTTTTAAAAAAATAAAAGAACGCTAATTATTGTCAAATCAGGGCAGAAAGTATGTGACAGGCACTGTTGAGACAAATCACAACACACATCCTTGCAAATTACAAGTGACCTATTAAATGATAGACATATCACACCAATTACAAAGGCTTTAGCTGAAAAATTGAGAAAAAAATATGCTTAAGAAGTACAAGAACATTTAATCAGAGAAAAAGAATGCATACTCACGTGTAAACATTGTAAGAAACCACGGAATAGCGTAAAGCTGCAAAAGGTGGTGGTGGTGGGGAAGAGAACAAAACATGTTTTATTAAGAGCTGAAGTTGTTTGTGACAATTGCCTACCATGTTAAAAGTTGCCTAGCTTGGCATGAATGTATTTAAAATGAGAAATAATTGCGGCAGCAGAAGCACTATCATACAACTTTTAGTCCCTCAGAGAAGCTTTTTCCTCCCCCAGGTCCCCATTCTCATCTCTTTCAAATTACTGGTTTGTGATACTGTATTGAAAACAACAACAAAACCAAACCACCACCCTCAGTAGGCTTATGTTTGTAAAAAAATAACCCCCAAATTCTTAAAGAACTGAAAAACCTGCTCTATTAAACTGTTAACAGTTCTCACCTTACATGTACGTGTCACTAAGTGAAAATTAGCAAAGAATGCCTGGACAAGCATAAACCAATATATCTTTTTGACTATGGCCCCCCCCCCCCCAACTCTATATAAACAGTTAAAAGTGCAAATCACAATTTCCAACAGAAAAAATAACCATATCTACCTTTTTCTCCTATGTTGGTATTAAATAAGATGTACACTTGTCAGTGAAAGGCAATAAGAACAGTTTCATTCTCAAAAGCATGTAGTGTCAGTTACTAACACCGTAAGCATTTCTGTTGTTTGGCTGTGACCTTTAAAGGCAGGCAGCATCTGAAGAATTTGAGGTTGCTTCAGCACTGACACTACTGTGAAACTAAGAAATTGTGCTGTGGCAATGGCTACAGAAAACCTTTAGTTTCTGCAAACTTTTATACTCGTGACATCATATAGAGAAAATTCAGTATGCATTAGAAGAGCTAACCGTTTATAACACCTGAAGAGTTTCTCAATTTCTACTGAAGTATTTAGCATGTTGAAGGTAACAATCTATTTTCATGAAACATTGAACTGCAGAGAAAGTCCTCACAAATTAGGAATGCAAGAGCGAGACCATTATTAAATTTTACTCAGTTGCACAGATCATGTGCTCTGTTTTCCACTTCTGAAGATTTACAGTTACACATAAAGCTTAATATATTACTTTTTAGCTCATAAAAAGTGCAAATTAGTCCTCCTATTAAGCTTTCCCTGGAAGTAAGCAAATGAGAAGCAGAAAGTGTAATCAATATTATGTTAATCAATTACTACCTATTCCATAATCTCTTAACTTGGTCATGGCACTGATTAAATGATGCACACATTTACTGAAAAGCTCTTTAGCACAGTGCTCTCTAAATTTTACAATTTTATTCCTACATCTGAGCATCTGAACCATACTGTCCATAAAATTCACAAAGCCATGATGACCAGACTGTTCCCCACTTTCAGTATTCAGGAGGCTTTTATAAAGCTTGGCCTCCAACTACCAGTTGATTTTAAGGGTTCAAAAAAAATCCACCACCACCCAAATTAATTTCTATCACCATTTTCATCTTATAATACATTCACACTATTTCCCTGAGTATGTCTTTGTCATGCCTTCAATAGATGGCTCTCTACTGAATACCATTCTCTGAAACATCCCCTACAGTGGTTCTGATCAGCTAATACCTGTTTACCTGCTTGCTTGTACGCAATATCTTGCTTTCCATGCAGTAGGAAAACAAGCATTCCTAATAACCTGAGGCTCCTCTTTGCTTGGAGACACATTATTATGCGGATGTCATTTTGAGCTACATTACTTCCTAGGTATTTGAAAGCAATTATTTCCTCCTTTTCATGTATTTGATTAAAACATTTTACCAAAGAAGATCCACACTTTCTCCTAATTTCACAAACACCTCTATCCTGTATGCATCTATGTAGAAATATACAAGAAAACACACAAAATTTGAAACATTAAAACAGATTATTAAAAGGTAATCATAAGGCAAAACACTACTTTGCTCTAAACTATTCTCACCAAACCTATAAACAGTGACATAAAAAGCAAGTCAAACTATTTAAGAAGAAGGTATAAGGCAGATTTTTACTGAAGGGATTCTTCCCTCTGATTTTCATAAATGTAATGGTCTAAGACAAAGAAATCTCTGTAAACCTGAAGCAGTTATGATTACTCTTAATAAGCAAGAAAAGAAAACCCACAACACTGGTGGTATTATTCCACCATTCAAGTCAAATTGAAAAATACAGACAAAAAGAACTGCACTGACTTGAAGTCCTCAAATAAACAGGCTACCAAATTCTGATAGTTAAATGACTGCACTTTCAACATACTATTAGTAAATACTGCCCTCTAGCAATCACCGCCTGGAACAGCATCGTGCCATGCTTCTGTACTAAGCTGCTGCTGAAGAGGTTTTCGGGCCTTCACTATTGAACCCTGAAATATAATGGGGCTCTGTTTTTTACTAACACTTAACTCTCCGCAGCTGGGGAGCATACCCGATGTTTAATCGAAGTAGCTTTTGAACTGCTGGAACAGCCTGAGAATAAGTCACATTAAAATAAGAGCCTGTAAACCCAATACTTCATTTTTTAGAGTGAGCTTGAGATCAGCAATGTCGTAATTATCATTTTGCTTTGCTAGTAAAATACAAGCTCTTTTGTGCTTTTAAGTACAGACTTGGACATTTCTTATATACAAAGAACACAGCAGTCCCCTAACATCAGCTCCCATTCAAACAATCTAAATAATATCTTATAATTCTGCTTATTATTTATCTAATAATCTTTTTATTCACAGTGAAATCAAGTCTAAGGACAAGAGATTTCAATTCTCCATCTTTCCATTATCCCTAGCTGAAGCTTCCACTCCAACGGTGCTTTGCTATGACAAATTCTGCTCAGTACCTGAGCTTAGAGATGCAGTTAATTGTTTTTCAACAGGGTGAAGATGTTTACTTGCCCATAGTTAGTTGGGCATATTTTGAGAAGAATGCATCTTCCATTAGACATTCAAAGCTCTTACAGATACTGGCTCAAACCTCGATGAAAGCCTTTTCCATGAGGATTTTGTTATTGCCTGTTATTACTGTCTGGATTGTTTCACTATTTGACTGTTTCTCCAGAAGATGAGTGCTTCACACACTTGTGTCTACAGAAGATTGAGATTGTAAAGACAATAGTTTTAAAGATATTTAGGCTAAGGGGATTTTGATTCTAAAGGTATTTTAGAAGTAATAGCAAGGTGAAAATGAATGTTAATGTTTGTTGGTGGCGATGGTATGGAGTATTAAAACGCCTACACAAGCTTCTTGCTCTATGAAAAGTCTGCAAGAATAAAGCGGCTGTCCTGTATGATCCAGGTGCACCTTAGGAATGCCATAAGATAGCTACAGTGAAGCTATGTACCTAGTTGCAGGATAATGAAATGTAATTATTTAAAATTGAAGGTTTGAGCTTTCAAAACAAAAAATGCCAACATTCTTCACAAGTTCTTGTTTGTTATGCATGTATATAAAATTTAAGTTTACCAAAAACATCTAAGAAAATTAAAAAAATCTCTAAGGAAGTTCACCCTCCACACTTCATAGAATTACAGAGCTAAGATCAAGGTTAAATACCTACAGTTTTAAAGATAACGAAACACAGCAGGAGTAATCATTATTCTTGCAATCTTTTACAGAAGAATCTTCACCCGACCATCTGTCATTCAATGCAGTGTGTTATTTTAAACTGGCCAACTGTCATCTCTTCATCATTATAAAAATAATTTATGGATGGATAACAAAACCCCCTATGCTATAGCATGTACTTCACACTATTATCCATGTTCAAGACTTTTTTATGTTGGAGCCTTTCCTCCTCAAAGCTGAAGTCACACTTACAGGAATACAGGAACTACCACAATCAATAGCAACGTGGGCAAGTGTTCTGTCATCAACAGTGAGTAGCTCATGTGCTTCAGGAGAAACCCCTCCTTTGCCCACAGACCCCCTCCCTCCCTAAACATCAACTTCAAGGCCCTGCTTGCTTTCTTAAAAGTACTTTAAAGGGGATTTTGTTTGTATTTTTTATTTACATTTTATGGTTTTGTACATATTGTTAGGAGGTCTGCCATTTTTAAGTGATCTCGGATTGACCAAAAGGGGGGCTTTGAAGTGTATCTTTCTCTTGTTACCTATCTCTAACTTTACTTGTGGTTTAACTAGGCCCAAATCATTATCTCAGTAAAACAAAACTGTGTTAAAAAAAAAAAAATTAAAAAAGGACAAAAATAAATAGAAAAAAAAAAATCACAATCTTATTCTGAGCATTCTAGTAACTTTTTTTGTGTATGTGCTTTAGGTGTAGCATAGTTTCTGGTACGTATAAAGTAGTGAGGCCAAAGATAAAAAAAGGTCTATGAAGTTGCTGGAGGTTTTTTGGGGGCCTGTTTGATGTATGAGTGAAACAATGCTGTCCAACAATAGACGGGAATTATATTTTGCTGAGTTGTCCTACAAAGGTTGCCTCCCAGCTGCTGCTTTTTGGTTTAATTTTCATTTGTTAAGAAAAAAATTTTTTACTCTCTACAGCTTCCTGAGGAGGGGAAGTGGAGAGGGAGGTGCTGAGCTCTTCTCCCCGGGATCCAGTGACAGGACATGTGGGAATGGCTCAAAGCTACACTGGGGAGGTTTAGACTGGACATGAAGAAGCATTTCTTTACTGAGAGGCTGGTCAAACACTGGAACAGGCTTCCTAGAGAGGTGGTCGGTGGCCCAAGCCTGTCAGTGTTTAAGACTTGATCATAGACTAGATGATCACTGTAGGTCCCTTCCAACTGAAATAGTCTGTTCTGTAAAACTCTGATCTTGCACATTTTTTTCTGTCTTTGAAATACACACATACTTAGCTTCAAGCCTATATGGTGCCTAGACAATCATATATTTAAATGCTACAGAAAGGCGCAAAACTGTTTTATGACTGGCGATGCAAAGAGAATGCAATCTGAGTCTAGTTTTTAATATTAGATTCTACCTACCTATATGTACCTACACAAACAGAATTTGAAGAATGATCACTTTCCTCACAAGATAAAAATTCCAGGAAAAAACTTCTCCCCTAGATTCACCACTAGGTAATTGTGTAACAGAACAGAGATAAAATAGCTCAATTGCAGGATTTTTAATTCTCAGTTAAAGCCCTATTACAGACACCTCCTGCATACTGCCAAAACCAAGCTAAGGTATCTACCTATGACAGCAACTCCAGCATGATGATATTAAGTAACTGCAGCCAGACTTTGTCCTCTCTGTTAATGGCCAGCTGACAACTGTGGCTAGATTCCATGATTTGCAGCTGAAAGCTCTTTAGAATAATTTATGGCTATAGTTACCCTTTTAGTAATGTAGCACACTTCCTTGTTTTTCTTCAGTTCAAAATGGTCTGCCATTGATGTCAGAATTATTCAGTAAAATATAGAATGTGTTATAAAGCATTATATAGGGTGGGGAAGATTATAAACTTTGGGAGAGTGAGCAAAGAACTGTAAGATTCACTGTATATATCCCTCTATTTACATGTAAATCACATAGCCACAGCAATGTACTTAATCCAGGCACCACATCAGCTAACAATATTCACAACTATTCAAGCTTAAGCAGTGTTCAATATTCTGAGAGCTATGTGACCCAAAGCAAATGGGAAGGGTGCCAGGAAACACAATCTTTCCTGCAGCAGAGCCTGCATTTCAATGATGAAAGATTAATCAGGGTTTACTTTGATAGGATTAGTACTCAAGCACGAAACTCTGGTTCAGATCTCATTACTACAGTGCATATCCTTCACCTTGATGGATCCTGTGCTGTCTTGTTACAGGTACAAAAATCACTGCTCTCTCTAAGCTAAATGGCAGAACAACTTTTATTTATATTAAAAAAAAAGATGATTTAGAAAGGACAACCTCTTTTCAGAGGTTAGTGTTAATTTTAGCACTAGCATTTGTATTCAATGCAAGGTTTTTTTTAAAAAAATATATACCTCTGTTTTGTAATTATTTACTGCATTACCTAATCATCTCTAGACTGTAACACTTAGAAACAAGGCCCACACTTGACTATGTGCTGTCCAATAACTAGCACAACACAAAAACTATAATATAACAAAATAGGTGATTTTAAACTATTCCATCTGACTTGCACTTTGCAAGTTTTCAGTGGAGAATTATAACTGTAAGCAGACACTAGGAGCTGCCGAAAGATCAGCTAACAGCCGAGATAGGTTGCTACAGAGCTCTCATTTAAGTTAGTAGCAGAAACAAGGACCTCTAAGATGGTCAGGTAAATTACATCTCTACCTCTTCAGTGGGAACTAGTATCCTGGACAAAATACACAGAGGAATTGCTTCTGTCATCCACAACCTTTAACAAATAAACATCAAGTCCATTTACACAGTGATGCTGCAAAATTGATTCTGCCTCAGGAACTTAAACGTTGTTGTTACCCATGGTCTTTATTCCCCTAAATATTTAGGCTTTCTACAGATGAATGTTCTCCTTTCTTCCCACCTGCCCTCTTCCAATGTGGGTCATCAGCAACACACGTGGCCTTCTCAAACATCTCTGTTTATAATGCAATACACTGGCTTTCTCTTCTGCTCATTTTAATGCCATACTATCTTTTAAATTTGTATAATTCAAACAACAGTATGAGACTAAAAACACCTCTACAAATGAAAGCATGTATTTACTTTTCCATTACAATCTTTGTAAACAGTGATAAAAGAGTATCTGCCAGCCCTAAAGACACACAAATTCATCCAGGAATGGTATACAACAAATGACTTCAGAGGCTTGGCCTTGCTGCTTCAACTTAAAGCATTCCTAATAAGCATAAGATTTTTCTGATAAAACTAGCTTTATATTGCTTATAGAAGAAATGCATACACATTTCTCACTCATGAAATTTATATTTCTACATCAAAATCTCCTGACTTCAGTTTCCTTCTTCCAGTTTGACCTCTCAGTTCTTACAACCAACATGTAATTACCAAATTTCTAAATGTCAAATCATGATATAGACCGTATCAGTTAACTGTGTTCTCTTTATAGCCTTCCTTAAATCTGCTTTTCAGAAACATCAGCCATAAACTTCGATAAAGCTATAGTAGGCAGACAAACATTTTTATAGAATGTTATCTCAGCTTTCTGGACTATACACGCCTCTCTAAACAAAGGAGGAAAGCTTCACTTTTTACATTGATAGCTAAAAGCGAGGCTGTGAAAAAGGCCTTGTTTTGCTTTTTTCCAACATACCCCTCCCTCTCTACTACATTTTGGCTGTGTACTATGTTATCATTTTCCTCCATCTTACAGACATCTTCCAATGAAAGCATAAACCTTTGACACAAGGTGTACACTTGTCCAATGTTTGTATTTACCACATCAACAGGACGGGAAGGACTTAGGTGTCTAAAACAACAATCAAAACTTTACCATTTTATCAGCATGCTTGGAAAGGTCCCTTAATGTGCAAGTTTCACTTATGTCAAACTGCTGCTGAAATAACTCATCCTAGCTGCCCTCATTTTCCATTTCTTACTTCCTTTGAACAATACTTATAAGAACCCACAGCACTTACATCTGGAATAAAACCAATTTCATTAAGGTGGTTACTCAGCTCTGGATCATGGAATGCAATCATCTGGGAAAACACTGTCAGGTATTCTGAAATGACAAGCAAATTCAAGATCATCGTCAAAAACACAAGCTACTGCATGCTGCTAGCTCACAGCAGACCTGTAGAAAAGGAAGAACAATACTATTTTTTTAAATTTTTGCTTGAATCTACAATAAAACAACAAATGAATACCACTACTGTCCTCCTTGTCATCATTACATTCATTACAGAGGAAGAAAGGTTTCATTGCTCTTCCTTAGTACTTCTCAATTTGGATTTTCAAGAGTGGTTTACTTGGTTTACACTTTGGTTGTGATGTATGTTTGATGTGCAAAGTTAAAGACTTTTCAGTGTGAGCAAATTAGGACAAGACTGTTCCAAGGATTTTTAAGACCCAAACTGTTTTAGTGATACACAAAGTTTATATTCTTTAAATTAAATTCTGTGTGGTTTCTTTTCTACAAAGTTAAAACTTCGTAATCTGGCAGTTGAGGTTTTAAGGCAATGGGGCTTTAAGGTTACCATTTCTATGATCAGTAACAATTTATATTTTTTTGGAACAGATAAGGAGAAATTCTTATTGTAAAAGATAAAATTTATTACATCTTCAGCATGGCGCATTAGGCTGATGGGTACAATTTCATTAAGTTGTCTAAATAACACTTGCTTTTAATTGGAAGAGAAGCAGACCGCAGAACACAGACACTGACAGATTTCTCTCTCTCTCTCTGTCTCCATTCTGCCCCTCTCCCAATTTTGTCCACACTGTCATATGCTTTGTTAGAAGGAAGATGAAGAGGCAGTAACATTGCAGTTTTATAACAGATGGCAATTCCTTCTCCTCCATGCTCCCAAGAAGAGAGTAATTAAGGCCCAGACAGCTCGTTGAGGGAAGAGAGACAGAGAATGTGAGCCCTGCTCCCAGATAAGAGCACGCTGACATCTCACAGCTCCACAGACTACTGTCCCAGAATATAAGCCCCCAAACACCAAGTCCGCACAGCTCCACAACTTAGCCGTCCAGAGCTGCTGTTGCTTCCTTTAAAGTCTATTGGAAGGACTAGATGCCTACAACTGTCTCTCTTGGGGACAGCAAATAACTGCCTATTACTCAGTTTGTCTTCATCCCTGAGGTGGCAAAATTAAACTCCAATTCCACTGTTAAGAAACACAGACTCTGCTGGGATAATTCCACACAGACTCCTTTATTTAAGAATAGAAGTGGGTCTAAACATTCAGTTACTTATAGACTCCTATCTTAGTTAAATCTTGATTATCTGCACTCAAGTTAGTTCCTCTTAGTTAGGTTAGGCCAGCAAGTTAGAATGGTGACTCTAAAATAATTCTATTTTGACTAGAAATTATAAAAGCTGATTCTGCCTCAAGAGGACTGATAAACAATGCTCTCACTATAAGAGCACAAGGTAAACAAACCACAGTCCTACTGCAAATTATACTCGAAGGATGCCTATTTCTTCAAGGTAAGTTGCCATAAAAATTAAGACCTCTTGAGCCTACTTCAGAGTTTTACAACTTTTGCCTCAGGCTGCAAAGACAAAGCCACACCACATGAAACCTTTTACGTGGTTTCTGGCATCTTAGGAGTGCCAGCCTCTCCTCTCTGATACTGCATTTCTATTATATGCCACAGATGCCCCGGCAGTACTCAGCTGGGGAGGTAAGTGGGTAAACAGACCCATGCCGAGTTCTGTGTCACCAAGGCCTGACTGCTTTGGAGCTACTCACATCTCTCACGTTTTCTCAGCTTCAAGCCAAAGTTGTTCTTATCCACATGCATACAAGTTAGGGAGACAATTGAATCCATGCCTTTAATTCATACCGCGCTACATGATAATGATTTTTAAGAAGTGCATCTCTAAGGTGCATCTTCCATCAGTTTTATTTCATGAAACAGCCAGTAATCACAAGTCAGGTATAGCAAACCAGTAATCCTACACATTCCTACACATTCAGCTGTGTGCTGATGAAAACAATTTCACAATTAGCTTCCCTGAACCACATTTAATTTAAAAATGAAGATTCGTGCCCATGATGGTTCGCTACAGATATTCTACAGGTTGATAAATACCATCTTTGTTTGACTAGCCAGTCTCATCAAATGTAATTACTGTGTGGGATTACATGTTTAATTAAGGGTCTATTGAAAACACACAAATCTTCACAAAAACGTATTGCTTAGGTCCAGCCAATCGCTATTGGTTGCAATTTTATTATATGAATTTTTGTTTTACATAATTGGGCATTCGATACCCAAACCCCTTTAACTGCTCTTGCTTCCTATTTCAAGTAAGGAAATATATCTGATAAGCTTAGAAAAAAATCCTGTCTTCGTTGTATAGTACAAGCTCAGAACTGAGCTATGTTGAAAACTGCAGTTTTGAAGATTCCTCCCATCCACCCCTACATGGAAGATACAAAGAAGCCAAAATTACAGTAAGCAGTTAAATGACACATGTAACACCTTCTTCCAACCCAATAAAGCAGGGAAATTACACAGAATTTTACTTTAAAACTGTATTTACAGATCGGTGTTTGACATATGACCCTAGAAATGATTAAATCAGAATACTGAAAGAATCATGAAAGGTCCGGTCTCCCCGAGTCCTTGACGATGCCAGATGTTGCACAGGAACTCAGGAACGCCTACACTATTTTGGTTCACAGAATCCTACTGATCAACTTTGGCTGATACATGTTTTTGTAAAGCCCCTTAGGAATAACATCAGGGAACTCTAGAGAGCAAAAGTATTATTTTATGGAAGAGTATACCCTCTTCAGAAAAGTCTTTACCAAGCTATTAATCTTCAAGTCTAAAGCTGCTGTCTCCACAGGAGCATCTGATATAATATACTTACTCTTTTCATCTTTAGACCTTTACTGATCCTTTTTTTCCAGCAAGCACTCCTTCTTTACAGACAAAAGGATGAAAACAAGTTCTCCTGAATAGTTTTTCCAAACATCTCTTACTCATTGTCTTTTATATGTAAACTCTCCTAACCACTATGTTCTCTCCTTATATTAGCTCACTCCCTATTATCCAATATGTAACTGCTTTTATGTCTAACTATTTTTTTGTCAATCAGTTCTTAATTTCCTTTCATTTTTTGAAGACAAAAAATGACAGACACTGCTTCTAAGTTGAGGAATTTCACAAGTTATATACAACAGAATCTCTTTAAAAGAAATACAAGGATATCAAGCCATGCTGAAATGCAGTATTCAATAAACACTTATAACTGCTCGCAATTAAAAAAACCATTCAGTACCACTTGCTTTTTTAAACTACTGATGGCTTTTCAAACAGCTTCTTTTGTTTTTTAAAAACTGTCTGCAAGATGAATTATCTTTCCAACACAGACTGTGCCAAGGTGGCTTTCTAGGTGCAGACAATTCCTTCTTCGTGCTTCCATGAAATTTACAATTAATTTTCAAGTAGAACAGACACTTACCTCCTAGCTATTGTTTTAATTTCACTACATTACCTATATAGTTGTTGAAGACTGAACTACAGAACATTATTCCTTAGGGTTCTCCAACTCCTGTCCTGCACTGAATGACATTATCTTCTGTTCAGTAAGGAATTCCCCTGAAAACCCTAACTCTCTGAATACCATAACTTCCATTTTCTGAGGAGTCCCTAGTTTGTACTGTTCCTCTTCATTTTCTCTCACTGTCAAAATAGCTCCTGTAACAGTATGATTTTAATCACCTAAAGGGTAGGTCTTTACAAAATAACACTGGAAAGATTACTACTTCTTTTTACAACTTTGCACGATCAACTGAGTCTTAGCTTGGATATTACACAGAACTTTTTGTGTGTGTGCACAACTTTTTTTTCTCCTGCCTGATTCTTTATCCACTTATTTTGTTCCTAGTTTACTTGCAGAGCTGTGGTTCTTATTTATCTAAAATAAAGCTTTTGAAAGAAACAGGTGGATATTTCTACAGTGTCATTCTAATTCTATTACAATTTTACCATTTGAAAAAGTGTATTTATATATCCAGAGATAATTATACTTCTCTTAAGAAAAAAAAAAAGAAAAAAAAAAAGAAAAAACAATACTTACCTTGAATAACATGAGAATTATCCTTCAGAAAGAAGTTATACAAATACTTTGGGATAAAAGCAGACATGCAGGCATATGCCAGAGCTGAAAGAATTAGAAAAACGTATTCAACTATGGAGGTACAAACATAAGTACACTTAAAAAAATTCATTATTAAGCAGATAATAAGCAGAAATACTTAAATCAATCTATACGCAAAAATGATTGTAAAACACACAAAAAAGGGCACATTCCTCATTAAAGAATTTTTAAAGCTCCTAAAAAAGTCTCCTTCTGTCACTGAGTAATCAATATTTTATACTTCTCAGTGACAAAGTAATGAGAAGATGTTTGGAAAGCCATGGTGATGTTTGTATCAAAAAAGGAAGGTCCTTGGATGAGTAAAATTTCAGAAGACAGTTTCAGACAATGGCATTGTTGCAGTCTTCTGAGTTTTCTCCTATAGAACTTAGACTCAGTTTATGCCCCATCAGACTCGCCTCTTGTCTCTTACTTCAGCTCAGAAAAAACACTGAGTGAAATATAATCAATAATACTGTCAAAAAGATGGGTAAAACCATCATAAATTTCTCAACTGCTCCTCACATACATAACAAATAGAGATTACAGGGTAAAAACATTAAGTGTTTATGCTCTTGATTAATTCCTGGGAACTTGGCTGAGAGACAATCTATTATAATACAATTCTTAGCCATGATGCTAGACCACAGATATAAAAAAGAAATATGGGTTTGTCATCAATTGTTCAAAGACAAATATAATTTTGGAAGGTTCTAAGCAAAACATCAGATTTATACAAATATGACATAGCATCATGTTATAAATGAGTTCTGTGTTACAACTTTTCTAGTGTTGAAACCACTTTTTAAATATCTGAGCCAAACATGTACAATTAAGTTCATAAACCAGAACACAAGATTTTATATAATTCACTACTATTATATTTTGCTTTAATGGGAAGGAAACCAGGTTCTACAATCAAACTGTATAGGAACATGCCCAAGAGAAAGAAAAATCTGTTGAAATATTTAAATTAGTATGCACAGCAGGCATAATAGGAGGCATTGCCCTAAGAAACTCATTTTCCCACACACAGACCTTATATTAAGCAAGCCAGGTGCAAGAGAATAGAAGATTGGACTAGACCTATTCTGAACAAATCACATTCTAAGCAGATAAAGGCCACATATCCAAAACTGGTCTGATAAGCTTTTAGGCATTAAAACCATCATCAGCTTTTCTGAATAAAGCTAGTCTGACAGGTTAACAGGTTAAGAAATAATGCATTCACATTAAACAAGGCTGAACTACAGCTTCACTGAGAAAGACAAGTACTAGAGAAGCATTTCTTACTTTTCTATAATCAAGGTTATTTGTGCTTTTTATTATAGTACTTGGCAATAAACACACACAGGGTTTGAACCCCTGCTTGAAGAGCAGTACAGTACATACACTTTTCAAAAACCAACCATTTCTTTTGACCTGTTGCAATAAAAGCTTTAAAATTCCTTTGTAGCTACAGGAAGTTTCCATCTATAAGCAAGTGCACCCACATCTGTCTACAACTAGATACAGATGACAGACTGTTCCCCCTTCAGCCTCAGCAGAAAAACATACTCACCTTCATTGTTAAAATTCAAGTACAGAAACGGTGCACAAAGAGAGTCAAGACCTAAAAGAGAGAAGAGCCATGAAGAAACACCATAAGGAGCTCATTTATTGTGATGTACAAGATAAATTCATTAATTTACCATGAAAATTTGCATACTTGATACTGATTATAATTCTGCAATGTCAGGCTTCACATGTAATACTGAGAACAACTGTGAAATCAATGCATGAAAACAGAGGGGATTTCAAATTGTTGAACTATAATGCTGAATTGATTATTCTGCCAAGGCTCCCAAGAAATGCACTTTACCATCCCAAGAACTTGCTCAGTAACTTCTGCAGTTTTATGTTGGAACTGAACAGTAGGCAACAGACTGTTTTTTTGGTTGGGGTTTTTTCTCTCTTTTTTTTTTGTGGGGTTTTTTTTTTTCCTTCCCCCAAAAATAAAGCGACTGAACTTAAGGAGAGTAAATAAATAAGAGCGGGGCAATTTTGCGTTAAAAATAAAGTACTAATTATTAGATTCCTAATTTGCAATAACCCACAGATTCGTTGTTCAAAAGAAACAGAAATGAAAGCAAAGTTTACATTGTTGGGAAGAAAAGGGGAAGGTATTTTTAAGTCAGTCATAGCTTTCCAGTTAAGTATCTCTTGTTGCCAATTAGTCAAACTCACCTTGCCAGTACACCAAATCAGGATGGGAAACAACCCAGGCCTTCAATACACGTCTAAACTTTGCATGACCCTCTGGTGATGACAGCAATTCATCATACTGATGGCAACGAGGAATATCAACTTCAATCTGCACCACAGCGAAGCATATAATATAAAAAGAAATCAGGATAAGTGGGGTAGTACTACAGCAATCTTGCAACACTAGAGGTGGAAGTCAGCCAAAGAATGTAGGTCAGACCACCATCATAAACACAGTCTGCTTCCTCCATCACTCTCAAAAGCAACACTGAAAAGGGACAGGGGACTAACAGCCCTGTCAAAAGATTAAAAATAGAGATTTCTTTTTTTTTTTCCTTTCCAGATTTATATTTTTAAAAGGGTTCTAACCCTTGAAAAAGGCAGAAAGCAGATTATAGGTTTTTTTCTGACCCAACTTTTGGACACATTTCAGGCGCTAATATCACTTTCTCTAAAGGATCATCAAATCAGAGTTCTCAAAACGTTGAACCCAATTTGATGGAAAATATTTCTTCACCCAGCTGAAAGGAACAGCTGTTGCTTGTGATGTCTTTATGTCTGGAGAACCAAATTGCTCAAGAACCCATTTCTGTGAAGCATAGCTCACCTTACATGATCTCAGGATACTAAGCACTATCTGGTACAAGGTCCAACAGGCACAACAAACATTCAATAAAAACAAGACTTCTACCAATACATCAGTAATATTGTTCACTACACTTTGCTGCTGCTGTAGAAACAGTGATTCTGAAGTAAAAGAGGATTTCACTTTCCAGGTTGTAACATAATTTGAGTTAAACTACTTGTTCCTATTGGTTTTGCAAGACTCTTGCAACAGCGTGAATAAGGTTAGAGGACAGGGGCATCCCTTCAAGTATTATCAGCCACATCTGCTGTAACAGGCAAATGACTGGTGAAAAAGATCTTTGCATTACTTCAAGTGACAGAATTTGATAACGCTGGAAGTCTTACTTGTCTGTCTGTAGGAATTGGTGTGTCTTTATCAATGGCATCATATTTTGCTTGTATGGCACCCTAAATGTGGAAGAAAAATACTTGAATTTAGAAAGCCCTTACTAACATAAATGTATATTACAATGTACATGCTGATATACAGAAGATGACTGTTTTTCTTGGATGCTTTAGTTAGCAACTTGTTTTTCCTGAAAATTTTTTCCAGAGTACAGAAAATTCTAACAGCTGAATTTTAACAAAATGATCTTTATTCTGTTATAATTCAGGAGATATAGACCTTTCTGTGACCTCCTTGGTATGATCTTCATTGATTTTCAGTTGTTTATGCAGAAAGTTACATACCTGATAGTTTTCCATTTTCAAGTTAAGAAATGCTCTCAATTTAAATTCAGTGCTTACCTCAGCCACTGGCAAATGGCTTTCAGCATCATCTCTGTAAAGGCACTGAATCCAGTGCCTGTTAATTAATATTGATATTACCAATATACACTTCTCTTAAGTAGCCTCTCCTTGCATGAATCCCAAGACAGGCATGCTAACAAGTTCATCTTAAAGTTATGGGACAGGGAAACACTACCAGCATTGTACAGATGGTAAGCTGGTGAAGCACGAGAACTGACTCATCTCCCAAGACCCAGGCTACAATCCTGACCAGCAGTTAGTTGTTCCTTACCTTTACAGCTTTTTTTGGGGTCATATTATATAGCACTCAGCATATCACATCCTAAGCTAAACATCCTAAATAACCTGGGATGTGTTATTTACAAGAACCTTTTTGCTGCACTACTGCAGTTTGCAAGCAGGGTAGACGAAAGAGCCGGGTATTCAAGCAATGTCTGTGAGGAGTCCTCATTTCTGGGACATTCCTTTCTAGTCCTTTGTCCAAAAGGGTTAAATTTAATTTATTTATTCTCCAGTCTTTGGAGGAAGTGCATTGATTGGTAGGTGAGAAAAATACATCTGACATGTTTCATCCTGTTTTGCCCAACTATTGCCGACTGGAGCAGAAGGATTCAAACTACATTTGTCAAAAATATTAAAAATCAAAGTAAAAAACCCCTATTAACTACCAATTGTATTTAAACAATCTAGCTGTATGGGTAGCATTTTTCCATTCCATCATCAAAATTAAAGGCAGTCAAGTTTACATACATTTTCTGAAATCAGATAATGTTAAAGACAAGAAGCAAGTTTGTCTGAACATTGCCTTTGTTCACACAATTTCATAACTAACTTTGTTTGAAATACCAGTAATTCTACCTGCCAAGTCTTCAAATTCATTCCAGCTTCCCTGTGGATCCCATTCCCTCCCCAGTCAGTACTGCAACTTCTGCAAATACACTCCCATTACCCTTACCTCAACACCCAACAGGGCAGCCCAGGTTATGCCTCTCAGAAGAGGAGGGATGTCAACCCTGGCTTCTTTCCAAATTTGGTTTTTCTTATATGGATAGGCCTACAAAGAGAAGGGATTAACAGCAAAAAATGTTACCATGTAACTGAAACAATTGAAATCCCAATCCTGGGACAGTCTTTACCCCAAAGGACAAATGCTGTCAGCCTGAACGGTGAATGCAAGTTTTACAACAAGTAAATTTCATTCCTAACTGGAAGGTCTGGATGGAGGACTACTGTTTGATGTTAAAATACTCACTCCTCATAAATGTATTCATGGGCTGGTTTACTGGTTCTATAAATTTACTAATCCAAATTTTTATTAAAAGATTTTTTTTCTTCATTATATGTTTCTCTTCATACTATGTATCCAACTTTGTTTTATTAAACATTTCTAGTTTACACCTTCCTAAGTAGTGCACTCGATGATGCACATCAGCTCTCCCTCATTCTTAAGCAAGAATGCATCCCTCTGCATACATCTAAATTAGGGACTAGTATTTTTCCCCCTCAGTATAAAACCCGTATTTCTAACATGGCACTGCTACAGTAAAGACTGGTATTGTTTTCAAGTACCTTCCTGCTTGGAAATGCAGAAATGTTACAGACATATTTATACCTACAAAAGCTTAGTCTACTACGAAATAAAGAATGCAGAAGTACTTTCTGCCGTACATAACAGGTATTAGCAGCAGTTCTATTTTCATGTGCATACTTTAAATCTACTTTTATAATCATGACTACTGAAAAGACCTAATTCTCTTTTTTTTCTTTTTTTTTCCCCCCCTCCTTTTCCTAATCATCTTATACTTCTGTAGGGTTTTCTTCCCCCTTTCCCACTGTGGTGTCTTGTATCTCTGCTTCCTTTTTCAATTACTTGGTCATTTAAAAATCCTCTAATTAACAGACCAAATCCAATTATCCAGCATCAGAAAAATTCCATACCTTCAACAGCCTGTCAAACAGGACAATTCTGTTTAGCTGGTACTCTGTGTCCCTCTCCCGGATGATCAGAGGAAGACTAGCAGCTGCAGACAGCTCATTACTACTATTCGAATGAGGTAAAGTTGACTGGCTGGAAAAAGCATTAGGATAGTAGTAGTGAACAGCAAGAAATACAAATCATTGTATATGGAAAAAAAAAAAAAAAAGAATATCCTGTGATGCATTTCTGAGTCAGAAACAGGTATAAATAGGTAATTTTGAATATTCAACACACTTGATTTCCAGAACAGAACCACAGGCTACAATCCTCAGTTTGGTATCAGGGCCCTAAGCCCACCAGTGCGGAGCGCTTATCAGCTCTTGTTGACTTTAAGAGCCAAACAAGGACAGTTAGGTTTGCTTCTGGAAGACAGTTATGTCTAGCTGTGCAGTGTGCCACTCAAATGAAACTAATAACAACTCAAAATTCAGCCTCTTATACACGTACTAACTTAGACACACACTTACTCATCTTCAAGCAATGGATAAAATGCTTCCCCACCAACATCTTTCAGTCTCTGAAATGAAGAATAAAAATAATTCGTTATCAGAACGCTGCTCAGAATTCAAGCGGAAATAGTTAGTGGAAAAAAACTTTTGCTAATACAAGCTTTTTGAGTTGATGGAAGTTCTTCTGCCTGAAGATAACACTCATCTCATTCGTAAACCTATTTCCACACAAAAAATAGCTTCCATGAGCCACGGATTAATAGATCAATAGTATTACATAGCTCTTTTTCTTTTCCTGATTTTTCCACATGGACTTCCTATCCAAGTAGCTGCAAAGCAACCACACAACTTGGTTTTATGCTTTTAATCAGTTTAAGAGTTATGCAAATTTGAGATCCTTTTAGTAGCAGCATCTGAAAGCTGCACAGAAATACAGACACTCTCTGGAAAGGTGACAGACAAGCATGCCTGGACTTTTGCCTAAAGTTTTCAGACATCTTTGGTGCATTGTGATTAATGTTTAATACCACCCTCCCTGCAGTGCTCTGTTTTGCAGTTCAATCCCTAACTTAAAGGCATACAGCACACAGCCTGTTCCTCCTGGGACTGACAGAACAGTTCATTCTCAGTTCATTCAGTACCAATTCTCTTCTGATTATAAGCATAGTGCTCTGCTCTAAGGAAGGTGTTTGAAGAATTGCATAAGTTCAAAAATTTATTTCAACTAACATTGCAAGGTTCAGGTTTATATCCTCTCCAAAATAAAACTTCAGTATACACTTATTTGCTGCTGTATTTATAGAAGTAGGCAGCAATATCCAAAATTACAGATTAAAAAGTTTTAAAAATGTCTTAAATGCTGCCCTTTTGTAGGAACAACAGTAGGAGGTGCAGTGCGTATTACCTTTCAAATAGCTGCTACATATTCTTTACCTCCTCCCACTAACCAAGCCAACAAAATAACCCAGTTCTTTGGTCTGTTTTCATGCATTTGTGTGAAGAAATGCAAAGTTCTACTGAAGGAATATGTTTACACAGCATTTGCCACATTGCCCCCAAAATTCAGGTAATGGTGGCAGAGATCAAGACTTCAGGAGTCACCTTCCTTTCCGTATTAACCCCTGTAAACATATGGGAAGGTTTTTTATAAAAACTGTGACAGAACTGCATTTGCTACTATAAAAATCAAGCTGCAAACAGTGCAACATGAATTTCTAGTTCTACAGCAATAAAGCACTACATGTGCAAGGACGTGAACAATTACAACATTTCAGTGGCACAGGCAGTAAATCCTGTAACTGATCATTACGCCAGGCAAAATATGTTGATTTTTCCACTGAAGATGGAAGAAAACTGCATTTCTGCATTTTGGCAAAATGGTTTGAAATGATCTTTTGAACTAGTTGTTTAAAATCTATATATTCCAAAGATTAGTAATTAACTACTAGAAACTTGGTATCCAACTTTAAGTATAAAGCCCTTAAGGAGCTGCAACTGAATTGAGTTGATCTTTCTTTTGAATATTGAGAGCCACCTAGAGACAGAAATTAAAGAATGCAAGAAGACACTCACTGCCCAATTACTTTAGCAATCATGGAGAATAACAGGTACTACAGAACTACACCAGAACAAAGCAGGTAACAAAAATAAGGAAAGGGAGGAACACAGGAAAGAGATGGAGAAACAGAAGATAAATCAAATTTAGTAAGCTTTTGCAGACAAAGCAATTTAATAGCATAAATCTGAATCTGACTCGGATGCCAAGAAGCATTCTCTTGAAATCAGTAACATTGTCACTTGTAGGAACCACAGTAGGAGCTGCTGTTCTATATTCCCTTTAAACAGACGTTTCTGCAGTGAAGACATACGAACAAGCACACAATATTCTTCTTACATTTCGGAGCTGGCAGAGAGACAAAGTCACAGTTGTGTCATCTAGGAGGGAACTTCTATCTCGTCCTTGCCCAAAGCTCTCACCATCTTCTAATAAAAAGCTTCAAAAGGGAGAAAAAAAAAAATCAGGTCATTTTATAACATAAGACTTGAGTTAGAAAAAAATAGAAAATTCTTACATCAATCGGTTTCCTCTTTAAAACAAAATACTAGCTCTTAGAAGTATACTATATTGACTAGGCATGGCATGAAACCTGCTATCAAGGGAATGTACAATCACCTTAAATTATTCAAAGAATTTTTGCTGTTAAAAGACACATTTCAGATTTTCTATAACTTTGGTTTGCACACGAAGAAAGAGTAATGAGATATGGGATTAATATTCCCTTTTGTTCCTTGACCTGGCACAGACCAGGACTGCCATTTATTGTGAAAAGCAAAAATAAACCATTATTGCCATATGAAAGCTATTTCCCACCATGACCAGGGAAAAAAAAAAAAGCGCAAAAGTTTCAAACAGACCTTTTTTGTTGCAGTCCATCTAAGGATACAAATACATCCAAGAAAGAGTATATATAAATTGTCTATTTGGCGATATTTTTAAAGCAGACAACACAAAATTGACTTCCAGAAATTAAGCTAACATTCTCAGAATCACTTAGAAGGTGGAGTTCGATTGCATTTTTGAAATTAACACCTCGTCTTCAAAATAGTATGACAAAAAATGTTTTCCCCTCACAATTCAAAAGCACATGTGTTCACCTATGGATACAGAAACAGGCAATCCCTCAAAATTTCACACTAATTTTGCCACCAAAATATCACTTAAAATCTAGCCTCACCTTCCCCCCCCCCAAGATATTGCACTTTGGCTGTACACTGACTTCATGTGTTTTTAAAACCCAGAACCAGCAAACTGAACTATATGGACACATAATTATGCTTATTACGATCAGACTGTAGGATCAGAGCATGAATATACTACTTAAAACTGCAACGTGTGCAGCAGTAAAATAAAAGTTGTAACAACTAAAATGCTGTTACAGAATTACAAGTCATAAAACTAAGCATTTTTTAAAAAAAAAAGCAATCAGCTGATCTGCTGAATAATTGGGATGACCATTCAGCACTGCTGCTCTGTGAAAGGAAATTCAGAATGTGAGAATTTGCTACAGAACATATTAAATTAAATTACAACTACTAATATGCTGTTGAAGCACAGTGAGACATTTTTAGTAAGACTTAATGCTATTGGAAAGCGTGCTAAATTTAGGGACTTCCAAATTCAGTATTTAGCACTTTACCTACATTTCTTCAAATTTCAGAAAGCGATACGAAGTGCAGGTAAGTGACAGATAGAAGGCATTCAAATAATGCCTTAAATTTGGTAAGAGGGGATGTGACATGATTTCCTGCTGTTAAAGAATGCTATTTTCAATATTTTTCACACATACAGGTCTGAAGCTAAAAATCAAACCAAAACGTTCTCTCAGAATCACTGGCCTTCTCCATCCATCCTCCTTTCTCTTAAAGTGCTTCTCCTTCCTTACTTGGGAAGTGTGCAGACAGGTGGCTTTGATCGAATGATTTCCTTGTTGACAAGTTCTTTCTCCAAGTCTCCTCCAGCCAAACACCAGAGATAATAAACCTCTTCAATTGATCTTTCTGCTAGGTAATCACCATCTTCGTCTATTAGGACAAACCACATAAAAATGAGTTATAGCTTTTTAGGCAGCTTGTATTTCTTCCTACCACTCTAAACACATATTGTTGAAAAAAAAATAAAAAATAATAATTTCTCATGCTTGAAAGATCCTAGACCTTAATGTGGAGTTAGAGGAAAAGTGATCTTCCCTTTGCAAGTGCCCTTTAGGAAGATTTAAAGAAAGAGCAGATGGGCAGAATCCAGAAAAAAGCAAGTATTTCCACAGTGTGCCTCGGTGCCAGGAAATAGAACCAATCCAATAAATACATTGAAGTGTGGACTTTTGCTTCCTGTGTGTCTTTTTAAAAAAAAACAAAAACCAACCACCAAACGCCCAAGCACTGTTTTGCACACAACACAGCACTAAGAGTAAAAATAAGAAACTAGTGATTCATACTGAGTAGTTCTAATCTTCCCTTCACATACCATACCCATACTAACAAGGTATAAAATCTTAGTCTCCAAAAATTGTATGAGATTTTCTACGCATGTAGAAATCTCTGAGTTCATCAGAAAAAATTAATGAGAACTTAAGAGTGGTAACACTTTCAGTATACTGTAGTTTTAAACTTAGAAATGTTGTCTTTTATTCTAGAATGTGACTTCTTTCACAAGGATTTAGTTTTCCAATATTTCGAAAGTTCATCTCATGCTATGATCCAGCAGAATCCAATTAGCAATTCACAACACAATTTAGTGAAAAAAACTACCTTGTACATGCACATGTCCAAATTCTAAAGGCAAAAGATAATATTGATATTCCAAGCTGGACTTGAATACTAATGATAACCATTTTTCCCTGAGATTGAAGCACAAAATCAAGATGCTCTCCTTTGACTTGCACACATCCCTCAAAACACATTCATGTCTCTGCCCATAACCCCCAAAACACGCTCATGTCTCTGCCCATTAAACAACTTATTACACGAATGTAGTATTGTAACATTTAATAGTTTCTCTCCAAAAAGGTATTCAAAGAAAATGTGAAAACGTTTTATTTTCCTTCCCCCTCCAATGACATTTATCCCACTACCTGCTTTTACCTTTACATAATTGACTTATGTCTTCAGGAAGCGTTAAATTAGCACACCTTGGAGAAGATGAGAACAGACCAGCAGGTTTGTGGAAGGGAGGATATACTGAGGATACTTCACTGAACAAACTGTCACGCAGCAATTCCTCTGGAGTTGGCCTTGAATTGAGAAAAAGAGAACAAAACGCTAAGAGTAAAGTCCTTTCAGAAATGTTACATTTCAATAAGAAATGTCCCCAGTAACAAATATTAGCAAGTTATTTTAAATTATATTGGATTTCAGAAATTTTAATGGCAAAACTGTCTACCAATTTTGTTCAATTTATGATGCATAACACACCATGCAGTCTGTTTACAGCCCAAGTTCAGATCTCACCTTCATTTAACATACATAGCAACTATTTTATTAATTCTTCTAAGCAGAGATGGAAAAATGCAAATGCAAAGCCTTCAGTAAAGAACAAAGGCATACTTCACTTTTCAGAGGAAAGCTGTGTTGGACTGACAGAATGCAAAAGTACTTGGAAAGAAGAGGCTTGAAGAAAGCAGCCCTAATTCTGGCTATAACAGAGCTATAGAAACCACCACCAACTTCCAGACATGGAATCAGTAAAAGCTGTGAACTTATAACTACAAATGCCTGAACAGTTTTCCCCCAAAATACTCAGATTCAACCTTAAGGTTTTGCAGACTTGATTTCCACACCCCACACCCAATTCTTTTCCTTTAAACACTGAAAAGCAAACAACCCAAGAATTTTTTTATAGGTAGCACAAATCATCAGTATTCCAAAAAAGGTTCAGCAACAGGTCTTCTAATTTCACAGTATTCCAACAGAGTTTAATAGGCATTTGGACTCAATACTTGCCTCTTAGAAGGCTGGAATGTAAGGCATTTCTTCAGCAGAGCTATGATATTTTCAGAAAGGTCCTGGAACATAAGAAAAATATGAACGAGGTCTGTTTATTTCTGTCTTAATTCACCAAGCCACTTAGCTCATACTTAACTTTTAACATACAGGCTATTCCTTTGAGGGCACTTCACACCTACACATATGAGGTTAGTTGTTTCAGACCAAAATGCTGGGGAAGTAATTCTTCTCTCCCCCAACCCTGCATTTGTTTTTGGGGTGGGGCACGGGGGGAAATCTGAAAAATTTGCAGTGTGTGCAGCTTTTTATTTTTATTTTTTAATTGAGATATTCTGTACCCAGCTTGAAACAATGCAGTACCTGGGAATTCCCTTCTGCTAATAATCAGAATCTTTTTACACAATGTCTCAAAATAAACAGATGCTAAAATTAGTGATTAATTTGGAGTGTGGGGAGGTGTTGCACTGTATAAATGTACACTATCAGAATGTGTAAAGTGGACCAGATAGAAAACTAAATTTCTAGGAGAAAAATACTTAAGCCCTAACATTTTAAAGAAAATTTACAGCTTATTAAACTATTCAGAGAGCCCTAACATTTACTGAGATTGGCAGTAATTTTAGGAAATAATGAATATTACCAGTACCGGCTATTTGAAAGTATCTTAGATATGTAGTTTAGACTTCAAAATTTCTCCTCATACTGCAATATATCAAGTGACCAAATAAGTTAAAAAAATTAAAATATGTGAAATACTATGCCACAACAGTTGCAACAACAGATAAGACAGCATGGAAGAGCAAACTAGTTCCACAGACCTTAATAATATCAAGGCAACCATGTTCTTCAGCCAATACAGTTACAATATCATCTACACAGCCTTTGAAAAACAAACAGAACAATAAAAAGTTAAAGATTATGAAAAAACAGGATATCCGATAAAATGCCACCCCCATAAAAAGCACTTAACTTTGGCTTTATATTGACATTGCCACATCACCTGAAAGTGAATTCTCAAAATCTGAAATGAAAATTATCACCCATGCAGACAGAAAATTGAAGCTTAAGAAAGTTCAGTAGCACATCTAATTTAACAGTGAAATCTTTATGCAGACTTAGTAAACCCAGAGTGTCACACTCCACCAAATAAATTAAAACATTCTTTCCACTTATAACAAAAAAAAACAAAACAAAACCAAAAACACCAAAACAAAACAACTGAAAGAACTTAAAAATACCTGCATATAGAAGCTCAAAGTAATTTTCACGTTGTTGCTACTTGCAGATAATACAGGCAGTATTTTATAACTTGTTTTCAGCACATTATTGAGAAAATAATTCCCAAGTCAGGACATGAAGGTTTCTCAGTGGATAAAGGTTACCAATAACTTGCATTCAACTTGAACAGGACTGAAATGCTTCAGGAAACTTTGCTAAGAAATCACTTACTAAAACAGTAAGAGTTTCAGCACCCAAGCACTAACTGCTGAATGAAAAAGATAGTTCTACTGACAGTAACTAACTTTAACAGTATTACTGTTTGCACTGGATCATAATAGCTTAGAGATAAAGCTTCAAATTGCAAACTCATGCCCTTCCCCTCCCTATGGTTTATACATAAACCCCACAAGAAATCAAGTTTTAAAAAGCCCTAAAATAGTCCCACTTCCAGACTCATTTGCATTAAGCAAAAATTCCATGTCTACAGTAACATTTTATAGTTTGTAAGAGAAGCCAGAAATAAAAGCCTGGATCCAGTAATACGCCTCTCAGCCCTCTTTTTATTTTGTTTTCCTATTTGAGTCCTGCCTCTCCCTGCTTGGGATATGGTACACAAGCACTGCCAGCATGGGGACAGTTTTCTTTAGTGTCATACAATTCCTGACTCATTTCACAAACCTCCTGCAACATAAAACAACAAATAACCATCAAAATGGCAACCTTTCCTGAGCATGTTTTTTATAGTTTGCCCTTACTCTAACATACCCATAGCTCTTCTGCAAAGTTATTTTTCCTGGCACCCACCTCTGTACCTTCCCTAGACAAGGGACCATGCTTCAAATGCCTATGTAATTGTGGAGATGAAAGCTGACAAGGGTAAAGTGCCTTAGGTCTGAGCATCATGAGCTAAATAGTCTGTAAAGCTCTAAATACAGAACTGCGTGGAAACTTAAAAAAATGATTTTGTGCTACTTACCTAACATAATTATAAATTTCAATCTCTCTGCTATCTCCAAACTCTGGAATAATTTTCTTCCCTAAATGAATAACAAAATCAAATCAACAGTTAAATGCTACCACATAAAAATACTTAGCTAGCATACACACCCATCTATATACAAAGACAGTGAAATAAGCTTCTGCACATGAATTTTAGATTTAGGAAAACTACCTGTTAGAACAAAAAACATTATTTACCCCAATTATAGCAGAAACAGTTTCATGCCATCATAAAGAAAAAATGTATCATTTGCAATGTATCCTAACTGGAATGCAAATGCAAAACCAAAAAAAATATGCAAAATAAAACCCCAAGATGCCTTAGCAAACCTGCAGGTTTGTTATTAATTCAGTAACAGACTTTCAAAAACTTTCCAATGTGAGCATGAACAAAGGTAATTAATTACTGAGCTTGGTAATCATGATTGTATTATTGCACAGTGCTTTTGAAAAGTCATCTGAAAATCCCTTTAAAAGTGTTTAAAAAAATCATTATTGCATTTTAAAGAAAATGTACTTATTCAAAACAATAAATAATGATTTATGAATACTATGCAAATTTACAGAAGAGTAGAATATGCAAAGGAATACTATTTCCAACGTCCTGATCTAATCACTATATAAAACAGGTTCTTGACCATGCAATAGTCTGATGATTTAGTTATCTTATATGAGACTAAATATCAATATTGAGGTATGTGCTAGATCATACCTCCCTACAGAATGTTGCTGTCTTTGAATCAAAGAAATCCAGTTTAACATATAGAAATAGTAAAGATTATGCTGTCATAATTTATTTCAACTTCTAGAGTCAAATAAGCATTTTCCAAATAAACCCTTAATTCTGTATAGAAGTTCTTTAAACTCTGGTGATGAGGTAGGTTCTCCCTTCTCTTCCTCTCCATGAAATGTTATTCGTTTCTCATCCATTCCAAGGACAATGAGGGTATGACAGCAATGGTTACTTCATGCTTAAAAGCATAATTAAACCAACAAATTATCTAGAGAGACTTCTTGGTTCAGAAGACATTCCTCGCTAAGAATTCAATCATGCAATCACATCATTGTAGCTTAACGGGCAGCTGCCCTTCCTGGTGAACACATATACCAAGCCAATATACATATTATTACTTGAACCATCACCAATAATGTCCACGTAGGAATGCTCACATATTCTGTTATTCGGACTCGAGTGGTAGGCAAAGCGTCATTAACCCCACACTCAGGAACAATGAAGTTAATGTAACCATTCCCCAAGAGTCACAATCAAGAGAATTATCCTCTTACATACCATGCAAAGCTCAAACAATATTATACCAAGAGACCACAGATCTGATTTAGGGCCAGAAGGCAGCGGCTTCTCACACTGAGTATGATCACTTGGTTTGACTATTCCCTGTGCAATTACTTCAGGTGCCAGATATGATGGGTACCTAGAAAGATTCAGCAACATTAAGTAATATCCTATCTGTCCAAAAATCCTACCTTTCAGTTACAGTAATCAAAATAATTTTGCATTCTGAAAAACTAGACTTTATAGCAGATTGTTCTATTTTATTCAGTCAAAATCTACACATTGCAACAAAATTTCACTCCAATTGCAAAATATATAGCGCCTTCTACATAAAAGGTCAAATCTTAATCACTAGCTCAGTTGTTTTGTAAGAGGAAATAACAGCAGCTTTCAAAATAGTATGTCTACATATCTCAAAGAAAATGTATATTGAGTTTCAGCACTAGTACATTAAATAAATGTATCCTAGATCCATTTTGGCAGGGGGTGGGGGGGGACTAGTAGGAGTAGGGGATGTAAGGGGGGTGGCAGTGTTCCCCTGCATTGACAGTGTTCCTATCAAATAACTTTTGAATTTCTAAAAAAAAGTAACAAAAGGTGTGGAAGACATATTCTACCTGCTGCTAGATCATTTAAAAATAACATTGGTGCTTTTTCTGTCAACAATTCATTATAATACTATAAAAAAAAAATAATCACCTTTTGAAGGGAAACACCATTACTTCTTTTGGGCCTATCTAAGAATCAGGTCAGTATTTCAATTGTAAACAACATGTCACCTCAAAAAAGCAAAAAGTGGTAAGGAAACACTGCAACAAAGCATGTCACTTTGGCTAGACAGTAAGATCCGTTGAAAATAAATAACAAAATGATAACGAGATGAGAGGTCTACAGGTGTGCAATAGTGAAGCACTGATTTTGCTTTTTCCTAAATTTGAAATTAGATCATACCTCCAGAATCCGAGTTGCATGGAACTATTAGCATTAGAAGGCAAATGCAGGCAATAAGGACAGACATCACAGTTACAGTAACATGCTCACATGGTACCCATTCTCTGTCTTTCATTAATTTCACCTAGTCAGATGATAACCTCTTCAGTGACATTATCAGAAGCTGCTATGTAAGTGGTGTACGCAATGGATACGAATTAAACCAGCAACCTATAACCTGTGCATACAACACATTTTTGAAGATGATTCCTCAAAACACAAATGTATTTCCTGAAAAAATGTATCCCTGATATATTTGTATTGTGTAGCTACATCCTTACCCTATAGGGAAATCAACATCAACACCTTGAGCCGTCATATGGTAGAGTCCAAATTTAGCCAACTTCACATGTCCCTGAAAAGGGAAAAAAAAAAAATGTTCAAGAGCCGCAGAATCTGACATTGGAAGAATCTTTGTTTAAGTTAAAAAAATTTCAAGTAGCATTAGCTGTCAGAAGACGGATACCTATAAAAAGTCACCCTCTTACATTTCTTCCCGATGCTTGCTTTTATTCTGTGGGGGCAGAAAGTTAACATCAAAACAACAAAAAATAGGCATAGAAGTTAAACTGAGGTATTGTTTCTGCTGGATTTTGAATTATACTCAACCAGCCTGCAGATGGTGCAACAGTGAAGGCTACATCAGCAAGCTATTCAAAGTGCAGGGGAAAAGTATAGAAGTTTATTGCCTCACAGCCCTCTGGTTCTTTTATTGATTTTATGAATACCTTAAAATCCTTAAGTATTTTTGCTTTTTAGAGCATTATTATGATTTTCATTTGTTTATAAGTATATAAAAAATAGCGTTCCTTCCTTCCTCCTCTTCTCTTTCTGCCTTCTGAGGGGAGGATCTAGCTATTCCATCTAAACTGAGTAAGAAGGGGAAGGAGAGAGGGGTTATGCAGACAGGCTGAGCTCTTCAGCTGCCAGTTCAAATGAAATGACTGCTCCAAGTACAACAGCAGCTATTAATTTCTCTCAGTTTTTATGAGCAAAACCTGCATTCCCCAATGCCAACTCAATAGTCTGTGACAACAGAATTGACAGAGACTGGAATTTTAATAATTTAAAGTGAACAAAGAAATATGTTGATATCTTAAAAGTAAAAGCCAAGTACTAGATCACCATGAAACACAGGAAATATTATTTAACAGCTAATTAGCCAGAAGAAATATTTTCCTATTCAAACATCCAGGAAGGTGTTGTAACTAATTACAATGACAAGTAGACTTAGATTACCACCTTAAAAAGAAAAGGGTGAAAAAAAGTTATTTGGGAAAATGGATAAAGAGAAAAATAAAATCTGAAATACATTTGGTATTTAGGAAGTGGACAAAAACTGTAGTTTAAAAAAAAAACAACTGCACACCAAAAAGACAAACAAAACCAAACAAAACCAACACCTTTCCAGATGTGCTTTTTTTTCCCCCATCAAAAGGGCTGTGACTCTCCAGTCTCCATATATGACATAGCTAAACAAAAACATAAGATTTATTCCTGTAGCTGTACCTTTCGATCCAAAAGAATATTGCAAGGGGAGAGTGCTCGGTGGACCATTCCATGTTTGTTCATATATTGCAAACCTTGCAAAACCTCATATGCTATGCATAAGATCCTTGAAGAACTGGAAAAAAAAAAAAAAAAGAACATGTTATACTGAATGTTTCCCTTTTTAATTTGTAAAAATGTAGAGTGTTCCACAGCTATTCCAAACACAAGTGAGACATTTACAATTCCAGAACAGTTTAAGGGATCAACATAGCCTACCAACACGGTAGGATATGTTCAGTGCCATACACAACTCCTTAATACCCCACAATTAGGTTTCTTCACCCTGAACCGGTCCTTAAAAACAGCAGAAAATTGTGACAAAGTATAAAATATTCGCTGCTTTAGAAACTATGAGATATACCTCAAATAACTGGGAAAAATAAATCCCAACCCTTCTTTATTTTTATTTGTTCTTCCTAAGTCTGCTATTGATGTTGGTAGAAAAGTTGAACTGAACAAAAGTTTTTGAAACTCAGACCTTAACTGGAGCTTTTCTAGCAGCTAGTGTAGAGGCGTAGCTAGATTACACCTGTAGTCTTAAGTCATCTGAACATCTAAAACAAGAAACAAAGGGCAGAAAACTTCATTTTCAGTACATTTTGTTTACAACTTTGGAAGCATCAACCTTACTATCTTTGGAAAGAAACGATTATTTAAATGGTTTAAACCATTTTGACATAACTATGTATTTTGACAAAAGTTATAATTTACTCTAAGAACTGATAGCTCTAAAGAGGAGTTTCTGTGAACAAGTGAACAGGAATTTGTACAGAGACCACCAGTATTAGCCTTCCAAAGTGCACCCAAAATAAGAAAAAAAGGCACAGATCTAGTGTCACCGAGATATTTCTTTTAACTTTTTACCCTCATTTCATTACCCTCATTTTTTACCCACATTTCAGGTCTGTTTGGCAACTTTATCTCTGAAGACATTGGTTTACAAAATGTCCAGAAAATGAAGCATATCTACTCATAAAGGCCTCACTTTACATCCCCATTTTTATATTTCATTGTTAAAGAATAACATACAATAGCATTCTGGACAAGGCTCACCACCTTCTCTTGCTTATTAAAAATCTGTGCAACAGCAAAATGAGGGGGAGCGTTACAGACTGACGAGAGTGACAAGCCAACTGGCTGACTAAACACCAAAATTCATTTCTTTATTGAAGCTTTATTAGCTGCTATTCATATCTGATGGAATACCAAAACTTTTTCACAAGAGTAAATAGCTACATTTTGACAAAAGCCACAGTTCCAACAAATTCTGAGACTAGGGCAACACAGAAAGACTGAAAAGAGCTGTTTTAATAATAGCCTAAGGCCACCATTAAGTTACCTTATGCGGAGCTATTGTCTAGACTCTAACCTTTTTCCTAGAATGAGAGCTCTGTGCTACTTTACTTGTGAATATACACTTTTAAGTTAATTTTTAAGCACAAAGGGAATCTATTCTAACATACGTCCACACTGCTGCATCTTAGATCATAGCATTTGGAAGTGATTCTCAAGGTCTTCACAATTCAACCGAAACCACATGGCTAATAACTACAAAACCAAAACAAAACCCCACAACTATCTTGCTCCTCCCTCACTGGCACTTTTTCTTCCCTATCCCTCCCACCCGCAAGTTAAATAACACACCATAGCATCAGACACCACCAGCTGCATAGTGTTTCCTCCCAGTCATTCTTGGACAGAGATATAACTGTGGTAAAAACTTTACGTTACAAGCCTTCAGCTTCCCTGTATAGTTTTTTGCATGCAATGCAAATATTAATGATGACGGTTGCAAAGAGATTCCTCTCTCTCAGTTTTTGCACAACTTTGCAAAACGAGACATGAAAAATAAATGATGGGAGAATTCATGTTTCCAGTAAGGAAACAATTGCATGTGAACAATCAGTACATCATGAGTTATTTTACCCTAAAAGTGTTTCTTTTTCTTACAAAATAAAAGCAAATATGAAGTGCAATTTTGTGGCTGTGGTGGCTGAGTAGTTCAGTGTGCTCTGATGGCACTAGGGGGCATCAGCCACCCATTTATTCTCCATGTTCTCTAGCAATTCATAAAAATAGAACCCAGGCAAATGCCTGAAAACAGTGTTTTTGGACTCTTTGCTCTTTAACATAAATCCTTCACGGTGTTACAGCGACCAGCAACACTTGAATGATAACTATTTTTCATTGCACATAATTCTCAGTGTTCTTAAGCTCTTGATGTCCTGCTGGGCAGAAGTGTTCAGGGAAGTACCTGGCCCTCAAGCTGAAGCACGCACACCACCTTCCAAGGAGAGGGAACTCTGTGTAACAAGCTCTTCATAGTGCTGTTGCACATTATCTAGTTCTTATTTCATTTATTAGATAAACCACACTGTGGTTATGACCCATGAGATTTCCATTTAACTGCAAAGGGCCTGACAACAACACTCATTGCTGTTAGTGAGCACAAGAGATCTCTCTGCTTTAAACTCCCGAAGGCCAAGTTCAACAGCAGTCCCTTGCCTCACTGGAGATGACTACCATGTCTATCCCCTCACTTCAGCAGGGCTCAACTCTCTCCCAGTTTCTACAGCCACTGTCAACACTGCAAGCGTTGCAACAGGGTTCTGCAAGTGCAGAAGGTGCACTCATGAAGCTGCTTCCTGGCTTCAGGTTAAGCTGACCTTTAAAAAACCCCATAAACAGAAAAAGAAAACAGTCTTAAGTGAGGGTGACATTCACAATACTCAATGTGGGTGGTGAGGTCTGAGCAGATTCAGAAACATTTTTCCCAACTATCTGGAAGTCTGTTTTTCAACAGACTGGCTAGTGTTGAACTATGATAGATCTAGATGAGTTTAGCCACTGGGGCTCTTGAACTGCAGAGGCTTCAGCACCCTCCTTTAACAGATGAGGCGAAAAACAACAGCAAAACCACTAGAAACAACACAGGAGAAAAGGCGGCAAAATGGAGGCATGGCAGATTCGACACCAACCACCCTATACCACTGACCTAATGAGAGCCATAATGACAGTTGTGTGGCATGAAATACCCTGTTCATCTCAGCAGCTAATAATCATGGTTGTGACTTTAAACTATTGCAAAGCAAACCATTCCACTGCTCAAGGCAGATACGGTAGGAGGCAGCAAGTAAAAGCATGCAAGCGTGAGATGTACTTCAACTGGCAGATCTGAAGGGCCACTAGTCATCTTCAGTTTCCCAGCTCTCCTAACGACTTGTTTTAAGGTTCTTTTCCTCTCCACCAACAGGAGAGAGAAACAACAGGAGTTTCTCTGCAAAAGGAACACTTTACAGACCTGTCTACAACTACCAGCACATTTTCAAGGAGCAGGCTTTGTTTTAATCCTCAGTCTGGATACCAACAAATCTACTCAGCTAGGCTTTTGGAAAGGGGTTCTCTTCAAGTGAGTCATTCTCTTCAAGTGATTTTACATCAGTGCACACTGATGTAAAATCAAACTGCCTGGATTTGATCATTGCCTTCTCTTTTCCTTGTTTGGAGAAGAAGAAATGTAGCCATGAAAAGGGGCCATTTTGTGTTCCTTCATTCTAGAAATGAAGAATTAAAAGTATATAAGGATTAAAACCAATACCAGGTTCAGATCTGTAACTAGAATGTATAGAAACATAGCAAAGGAAGCACAAAGGACAACTGAATTCCTCCCTCAGAAATTCACCTTGTAAGTAGGGGAAAATTTTTTTTTTTAAAAAAATCTCTGCAAGTTGATATGAGTAAGTTCAGCCAACAGTACAAAACCAGCATTGCTAAGAGAGGCATGTGCATGGCATTTGTGGGTGGAGAGAGAAGACGACTTAAAAACCCACAAAAATGAGGATTGTTTTATTACCTCCAGAATTTGTCAAACCAAAAGCTATACCAGACAAATGACTAATTTCCACACTGTAATGGCACACAGGTGGCTGCTTTGTGCCTCCACAAAAAACATTAACTTTTCCACTTAGCAGTCAGCCTGATCTCCAGCCTGTGGAATTCTTACTGTTTAAGGACACAAAGCTGTTTTCTGGAAGTTTACTTCAGGAATAATGAATCTAACCTGTGAGGAAACAGATGTTTTAGCAGAGTTTCAATCTCTTGTGGTGCTGCAAACCTGCTGATGAAATAATCTGACTGCTTAGGACACTTTTGTCACTTTTTGGATTCAGACAGAGGGGGAAAAAAAGAGGTTCTTAGTGTGCCCACTACAATCTTCCATCTGACTGAGAACAGCTTCTGGGCCAGGGTGAAAGGGAGAAGTTGTACTGGAAGAAATTGGCATACTGAGAGTCTTACCTTTCTTCAAAACGATCAGATATTAAAAAACAGAGAGAGGGGGGAAAGAGGGATTTATCAGGAACCAAGTAAAGACAATAAGCTCCTAAAATAACTAGTAGAATGGAGAGCTAAGGCTGAGCATACCCACCCAGTAATGACAGAGCAGTACGTGGAAACAAACATCTAGGGAGAATTGCCCAAGCCATAGGTCAACATAAGCACCAGATTAAAAAAAAAAAAAGGTTGGAAACACATCTAGAAATTAGAAAGTTTATGACAGAAAGGTGGGATTCTGAATTCTTGCAAAAAACTCCCAGCAATATTACCTATGTACTATTCAGTTTGAATGGTTATTTATTATTTGTGATTATTAATGGGAACGATAATGCAGCTGCTGCTGGAGGAAGCTGGACTCCAAGATAGGATGCTCTAGAAACAAACAACTTTTGCAACTGGTTATTTCCACTTTAGGTAAAATTACTGGTCTTCCAAACCCTATGAGTGGTCATACTAGCTTAGACCCAAAACTACTTGAGACTACTATCCTGTTTCCAGCAAAGATGACAGGCAGATGCCTAGGAGAGAGGGAATACAGAATAAGCATATATCAAATGTTCCCTGATATTCTCCTGGCTTCCAACCTCTTTAATTCAAGCTTGCTTCCAGGTAAAAAAATAAAATAAAGTTTGCCTCCTGAGCATCATCATGTTTGATAAGGTCAGAACATAAAGTAACCCCTGCAAGCCTCAACAGCTCTCGTAACAGGATACCCATTATTCCAAGTTTTTCATTCAC